AAATATTTTATAACTTTAAGTCTAGGTTCGATAAAACAATATTTTGACGAATGCAATCATTAAATTTTAAATTTAAATTGACTATTAACAAAGTTATTGTATAAAATGTGAATGGCGGCCACCTTCTCCTCTAATGACAATCGATAATGCTTCGGCTATTTACGTCGACAGTTAAAGAGTTAATGGATAATTAATAAACGAGAAGTCGGTCCCGGTCGACGTTGTGCTCTGCTCTACGATTGGTCTCCGCAATCGATCGATCTCAAGCGACCGCGAGTCTCTTGAGGCATCAAGGCCTCGCACTCGGGGCGATCGGCCACCTTGATCGAAAACCATGGGCCTTCGATAGAACCTCTTGTTTGCTTCGATCATATCGTCACTGCCGCCTCGGGTCTCTTTTCCTGAGTCCCACTCTCGGATTCTCGAGAGTGGGACTCATTGCCCGTCGATTGCAATCCTCTACAAAGGAGACGATTGTTCGATAAATCGGTACATAGTTCGAGATCACAAATTCAGTCAAAAGCATTTCATCACCGATAAGGAAATCTTGTCATAAGCTCTCCTTATTCGGCAAAGTATCTTCTCATAATTGGAAGAGAGATGTCGCACATGAATGCCCGATTTAATCCTCTTATTCTGAAGTAAAATGCTTACATTTCATGTAGAGAGATAATCTTTGTGTGAGAAAGGAATATTGTCCCATTGTTCATATCTTATTATTCATTCCATTGTTATGATAATTGCAAATCAAAGTATTAAATGAGTTGATCTTAAACAAAATTGAAAGTTTACATCTTAATGTAAACGTAAGTATGTATCATGCTTGTTAAAAAACATTTTGCAATCGATATAATGACAGCGGAGTTTTTCTGTCGAAGTGTGAAATGATTGACTGGGCGAACGATATATAACGATTATAATTTCATAATGCTCATGTATGTACAAATGCGTGTTTTACTTTTTTTTTCATATTTGTTATGAGTGATTGTTTAAGAGAAACGTCCAAGAGTAAAACGTATTCAAGAATATAAATACAAAAATTATTTCTCCATATATTTTGGTAAGATATGTATTTTTAATACTACAAAAAAGAACGTAAAAGTGCAGCAGAATTGCATTTATTTTACAAACATGTATAAAATATTTTATAACAATCTAATAATGTGATAGAATGAACCGAAACGAGCGAGATACAAATATTTTATTTTATTTTAAAAAGAAAAAATGATTATTGGAAATGTTTAGAATATATTTAATTGTAATAAAAGTTTGTATATGTATGTGTGTTAGATAAATAAAGTTTAATCTATGTGAAAAATACATTGCTCACAATAATGCATATTATTTCTAAAAATTAAGAAAAATATATTTTTATTTTTAAGCAAAGATATTTTTATGTTTTGAAATATGCAGATTATAAAAAAATCTATGATTATATGTATTCGATGGTAATTATCTCTCGAATCTATTATTCAGAAAAACATTAGAATTTAATTTTATAGTAAAAGTTGAAATGATAAACTTATTTATTTCGTATTATAATATAATTAATATTTATTAAAAATCTATAAAATTTATATCATACTTGCTTATGTTTTGGCTTCATAATTATAACTATTTTGTTAAATAAATATTATTATATATTTGCTATTTAAATACAGATAAATCACGGTAAAAAAGGATAATTGAAAAAACGTGTAAATGCTTTTTAAAAGAACCATAATTGCTCGACAAGCCAATATTCGCAGATGATGTAATGTCGACATTTCATGTTTAGTGCCACGCGAACCTTCTTTTTCTTCACAAAAGAAAGTAAGGCGGCAAGCCAATAATTACAATAATTGCAATTTTTCATGGCCGCTTTAAGAAAGTGCTGAATTACGATCACGAAGACGGTCTTCCATATCGTTATATATGTGCTAATTTACTAAAGAATTTAGTAGATTAGGAACTTTAGAGTTGTATATGGTTTTCGAAAGTCGAAGTTTATATTTATGATATGATAAATATCTTTGTGACAAAACAAAATAAAATATTTTATTGATTTTTTACTTTATAGAAATTTTTTTTAAATCCATGTAGGAAATAATCTAGATATGTATATTATTGAACGTGATAGAATTAAATCACTTAATCTTTCTTTTATATATTGTTGTCTTTATATCCTCAGCTTTCTAATTTTATGATTTTGCATTTAATTGCTTTCCATGAGAGATACGACACTTTTTACTAAATTTCACGATTACCTTCCAAAAGATGATGTCTTACTTACATGAACTTTATATAAAACGCATATCAAGCTGTTTCGAAACGTTTAAAAAAACCGTCTTAAAATTAATCCGTGTCATAAAACTCTGGATATACTTCTTGTATTTCATGGATAAAAGCGGCAATCATTAAAGAAAGTCATAACAATTTTATCCGACACTTTTATGTATTTTGAAGTTTATAATGTCATTCTACTTATACTTACAAAACTCATTTTTATTTACGGAAACTCAGAATTTTTATAAATGTTTTTTATAAATGCAAATTCATATTTTTAAAGAAATTCTCTTACTGTCAAAACTATCTATTTTCAATGTCTAACGAAAAATTGAACAGAAGATATAAACAAATATATACTTTAATATATTTAAATTAAAGTTGCAATATAATTTAATCAGATTACTATGTTATTATACAGTATTTATTAGTGTATCTACTCTCATTTAGTTTCTGTTACAATACCTGATCATGGAAGAGTCTTCTAAAAGCCTCTTTGCTATAACGCTCGGCTCCTTCTTCCTGCAATATTTCCTTGCATTCCTTCAGGATCCTCGTCCTCCTCTTCTCTAACAGACATTCTTCCTCCATGCAAATAATAGTCCCTTCCATATTAGTGAATAATCTTCGCGACTGTGAAGAACGAGGGTGCCACTAAAGAAACGAGATCACAGCCACTTTGGCAATTCATCACGAGATCAACAAGATTCCTGGCATTTCTTGTCTTAAATTCGTTCTTGTTTGGATACGAATGATTCAACAAGTCAGTTTCGTAGTACTTGAATGGAAGGTTATATTTATCAATTTTCGTTGTTGTGTTATTTCAAAATGAATAATCTACACTTATTATGTACTACTGTCTATTAAGTTATAATTAGTATTTTAAAGTAATTAATTTTTTTCTCGTTTGCAATTTAAAGAAAAAAATCAATTGTTTTAACGTAACGTTTTTCTAATACTTTTTTTATTTAATAAAAGTAATTTAGTAATTTAGTAATAAGTAATTTAAAAAAATATAATTAATTATTATATTTAAAAAATATCGCACTTCGGATATTTCTTATGAAAAGGTATAATATTTATTGTTATAATACGAATTTTGGCTCCTCTTAATCCTGCATTTGTTTTAAGGCTCTCAATATAAATAAAACAAAGTTTTAGTATGTTAGAAATTTGTCTCAAATAAAATGTAAAAATTGTAGGCAAGAATTTTTTTTTATTTGAATATCACAGTTTCTACTTTATTTATCTTTCTTTTACAAATCAAATTTGAGAGCACTGATAATATAAGTATAGAAGTAATATATGAATACGCATCGGTTCTTTACCTTTGGCGACTATAAAATTACTGCAGTTGTATTTTCGTAAAATTTTTTTGCCGAAAGAATCTATTATAATCAAATATCAAATGAGATTGAGAAAGAAAGAAAGAAAATTAGCAACTTTCTTCTTTGTCACGTTTTTTATGAGTAAACAAATATTTGATGACAGCTCGATAATTAATTCGCGTGTAAACACACACACAGGCCTATCTCTCGGTAAGAATAAAAACCCGGTTCAACGAATATATGAAGATTCACTTTATCGCCGCGTATCAATAAGCGAGATCACCGTGTTAACATTACTGACCGTCTTAACGTTACTGAGAAAAGTATTGAATGAAAATCATCCTCGAGGCATCAACGGCGTTCACGCGGATGTCACCGGCTGGCTGGAAATGTTGATACCAATAAACGCTTGTATTGGATTACAGGACGACACAGTGAGGGAAAAATAAAGAAGAACAGAGAGAGGAATGGAGACAGAAGTTTTACTGGCAATTCAGATCGTGTGGGGATAGAAAAGACGGACAACCTTTCACTTTTTGACAAACTCTGGGTTCCTTCTCCTCTCCTGTTGTGGATCTCCTCGTCTTTTTACTTCTTATATAAAAGTAGATATGTCAAGATCCAAAAACTACTTGTAAATAATTTACAATTACAATATCACAATCAGATAATAAATAAATAATCCATTAATTTGAAAAATATTTTCTGTAATCTCATAAAAAAAAAACCTTTTGCGTGAAAATTTTTTTACGTAGAAAGTATCTGTTATAAATTGCGTTTTTTTAATATTGTAGATAGTGATCATCACTATAAATGCTGAATAATGACGTACGTTGACTTTTGACAATTGTCATTTTTATTTATAAATATAATATTTTACAATGTATAATAACATTTTTTGTTTAAAAAAAACAAAATTTACTTTATTAATGTATGCGTCAAAGTTGAATTATAGAATTGTTATATAATATATAGCTTTAGGAAATATCAACTTATGTAAACATTTTTTTCGTTTGAAATGTAGTGAAATAGTTACGAAATCGATTTGATGCATGTAATATCGTTCAAGTTTTACAAATTTTTATAAGTCTGTATTTCAATCGCAAAATTTTACGCGTACGTGAATATTCAAAAATTTTCGTTAATATTACAATATAATAATTTTTTTAATACCGATGCTACCTTCACGGATTAAACGGAGAAACTGCTTATTAGATTTACGGTTAATTAAATTATTAATTGTGTACTCTAAACGACAGTACACGCATAATAACTAAATACTGTGTACTCATTTTCGTTAGAATTATCGCAACTTTAACCACGTTCGATCCATAAAGTTCGCTCGGAGATGCGCTTGCGCTTCCCAGGGAGCACCTGCGCTTTGGAAGTCGTGCACGAGCCCAGTCTTCGATGCGTTTTGTTTGCTAGTCTCTCGGACAGAATCAACAACGAGCTATGAAAGTGTCCTGAAAACCGACATTTTTCTGGAGATGAGCCTCCCATTTTTGAAGTCAGTTATACATACGTTAGTTTCTGGAAAAAGAACTCCATAAAAGCCTGAATTTAATCCTGGACAAGGTTTGGTCAAAGTAATTTTATATTGACATAATAATTTTTTAAAGTGATACAAAAAAATTCTTGTTTCACAGTTTCGAACATAATAAATTTTTATCACTATTGAAATAGCATGAAAATATTACTATACAAATATTACTATACAAATATGAATTTGAAGTTAAAATCGAATAGTATTTTAATAAATATTGTATTAAATTAAAAAAAAATTGTTAATATTTATTGTAAATAATTTTCTCTCTCTAAATTTATAATAAATGAAAATTAATAATAAAATATTTGGAAACTTGAATAGTCTGAAAATTATTGCAAATTATGTTGTAAGCGTAAGCTGAAACACACACACACACACACACACACACAATAATAAAAATTTAATTTTTTTTTACATGTTTATAGATGATATTCGACGTGATTCAATTGACGAATATATTATTATTCCTCCTTTGGAGCTCCAGTATAAGATGTTACAACGTTCCTTGCACATTCAACTCAATGTGCATGTGTTGGATTCAGGATGATGATGACGATTTTACGAAGATGGATATTAGCTGTATGGGAGTACCATTCGCACGATTTCCTGGTATGCTAAGAATTTAATGTTATTGATCAGAATTACTTTTTAATTATAAAGATTTTCTTTGATTATTTTATTAGAATAACGGTAAGCATTGTGTTTTTATACAGATTTATCATTATTTGTATTATATTATTTTATATAAAAAAATCTGTATAGAAATATTTCTTTCACGGTTATATATAGCAATGATACAATTACATGTGTATGTACATAGTAAAAATTTCGAAATATAATTAAACAAATTGAAGAAAATTTATATGTCTAAAATGTTTTAGACGTATCAGTGAGTTATGTGGCACAACTAGATATCGCTGGATCCGGTATACAAGTATTGGACAATGATGCACTTGCGAGTTCTGCAGGTGTCGAGGCTTTGGGATTAATGAGCAATCGTTTATCCGGTATAGGTGATAAATCTCTGCTGTAAGTTAACTTTTTTTCCTCATGCATAATAAAAGTATCTTGTACGTATAAATTGATGATAAACTAATTGCATGTTTTTGCATGAATTAATTTATGTTCCAAGTCTTTTAATAATTAATAAATTTACACATATCCAAATTTAATTTATTCATGCAATTATCTTGAACCAAATTTTGAAGAACGATGATTGAGAAATTATATCTTTAATGTCTTTTTTGTAAGAGGTGTTACGGACAGTCTACGTTCTCTGGATCTAAGCTATAATTCCCTTGAGGATGTGCCTTTTAAGGTTTTTCGCGATCTAAGGAAATTAAATTGGCTTAACATGCACAGGTATGTAACAAACTTAAATTTTTTAGTTTATTAAAAAATCAAATAATTACTCTGATTTTTTCAAAACAAGTGTTTTAATTATTAGCAATCATTTAACATCGTTGGATGGCGACTGGGGACGCACCAAAGAGACTCTAACGAACGCATTTTTTGGTGATAACTCGATTACCGAAGTGCCCAGAATCTTTTCGAATTTCGCCAACCTGGTATGGTTAAATTTAGACAGCAATAATATCGAGGAACTCTTTAAAGATTGTTTACCACCAAACATGCACACTTTGAGTATTAATAATAACCTCTTGAAAGAATTCCCACAATCCTTGGGAGGTCTTAAAGAACTAACTTGGCTGTATATGAGAGGAAATGATCTCAGGTATCTAGAATTACCAGATTTTCGTAGTTCCAATCTGGAGCTCATAGATGTTAGCGAGAATTCCATTGAATGGATGAAGACGCCCAATCTGAGCAATCACACTGTAAAAGTCAGAGACTTTAATCTAGCGGGAAATAAATTGGTCTCATTACCACGCAGAATGTTTGATCGTCTTGAAACCAGAAGAATTCATCTATCATCAAACAGCATCAGAAACGTTGACAAGGAAGCATTTCGCGGTCTGGAAGATAGTCTCGAATATTTAAATTTAGAAAATAACAACTTGCCGACTGTACCAAGCGCTGTTAGCCAGTTGAAGATATTATCCTATCTCTATTTAGCTAACAACGAGATTAAAAATATTTCCGGCGAGGCCTTTCAAGAATTCGCAGAGCATTTAAAGGCTCTCTCTCTTGCAACTAACAGTCTGGATGCAGTACCTGTAGCTGCTTTGTCCAGGTATTTTTAATGTTATTATATGAGATAAGTTATTTGCTTTTAAATTTTAATAATGTTGAGAGCAGATTTTTTTTTAATAATAATTTTCAAGTTGCATTATAATTGTTTAAATTACAAATTTATGTTTTTATAACAGGTCTCTTCGACATTTATATAATAAGTTCCAAAAATAAAAAGATGTAAAAAATGTAATTATTTTTACAAAGGCTTTAGTAAACTTTTTATAAAAATATTGTAATTTAATTTAATAAAATTAATTTATTTTTAATCCAATTTTTAATCCAAGTTATAAAATGAAAAGACAAAAGTATAAAATATAAATAAAAAATTAATCCATTTTTATTAAAATATATATATATATATATATATATATATATATTAGGTGTTTAAAAAGCAAAAGCACGTAACTACCTGTACTTTTATATTATAATCGCGTATGTTTTGTGTGCGTATGTAGAGTTTTGTATTATATAAATAAACCGTAAAGATTAAAAATCATGGAAAATTTGAGTTAATAATATAAAATTATAACGGAAAGAAAGTTTGGTGCAACATATCTGACGATCAATTTTTGAAATAGATGCCAGAGGCTATTGCACTTGAATCTTGGTTACAACAAGATCTCCCACGTCGAGCCGGGTGATTTCGAATGGGCCGAAGACCTTGAGATCTTATTGCTCAGGAACAATATCCTGACGAAACTCAAAGCTGAGACTTTCAAAGGAGCCGGTACGTCGACTATAATTTTGATTGTGAAAGTATATTGTCGGAAATAATCGCTACGTGTCGCGGAGAATTAATGATACAAATAACATTGACAGATATTATAATTATATATGTATGTGAATTTGTTTTTAATAGAGCTTTCTCTTAGGTAAACTGAAAGAGCTCAGCCTGTCCTTCAATCATTTGACGGAACTGGATGATGACTGTTTTGTTGGTCTCGAGGAGAGTCTAGACATTCTCGAATTGAGCTTCGCCTTCGCCACAGACGTTTTTCCACAGCGTGCACTTAGACCACTCTCAAATCTCCGGTGGCTGGTTTTAGACAACAATAATTTTCAGACAATCGAGGCAACAGCCTTTTACTCCTTCCAACAATTGCGTTACATTAATATGGAATCAAACAGATTGCATTACTTGCCCGAAAGGATATTCCTCTCAAGCGTGCATCCAGAATTAAGGGACGTCAAATTGGGATACAATTTCCTGGAGGCAATACCGGAGTCAAGTTTCCATAATTTGACCGAGCTGCTGTCTCTTGACTTGACTGGGAATCGAATAAGAATCTTGGCATCTGGCTCCATCGTAGATTGCCCAAAGCTGGTGACTATATCATTAGCTTATAACCGAATACAGAAGATGGAGAGAAACGCATTGTATGGTTTGTCCAGCTTGCGTTTCCTCCATTTGGAATTCAATAAGCTAACTGTGCTGGATTTGGGTGCTATCTCAGAGATCGGTGGTCCCGATTTTGCCTTAAATGTTTCCTACAATGCGATCGCATTCGTCGATTCGGGATCTACAATGAATAATCTTACCAGATTGGATCTTGGATTCAATAATATTAGCCATTTATCAGCGGATACGTTTTACGGAACGCCCGATTTGAAAAACTTATATCTACAGAATAATTATCTTGCCACAATCGATCCCGGTGAGAAAATACAAATAGTTTTTTTCTATCTTTTTAATTGCAATTTTCAGAAAATCAATTCTCAATGCTTTAATTTTCATTAACGATGCAGTATATTTAAACCTGCATTTCAAATTACAGAACAGGTATTTCTTTGATTTTTAAATAACATCTTTAAGCAACTGTAATTTATATTGTTTCAGGAACATTTGCATTTCCTCATTTAGAAACTTTGGACTTAAGTAACAACAAGATAGACACATTACGCAAACAATCCTTTCACGGTTTGGAGTCCCTTCAGTGGCTGAATCTTGGCGGAAATGAAATAACGCAGTTGTCGACAGAGCAATTCAGAAATCTAAAAAGTCTGAGGATTCTGACTCTCTCGAACAATAAAATTCGTTCGTTACCAAAAGATGTTTTTGAAGGTACCAGATTAGAAATCCTTGATCTCAGTCACAATAAATTCACCGTCGTGCCCTCGTCGTCGTTCTTAGAAGTCGGTTATACTCTGAGGGATCTCAATATGGCAGAAAATTTCCTGGATCACCTTGACTCGACTGCTTTCCCGACTTCTCAGCTGGTATCTTTGAATTTGGCGCAAAATCGTCTGACTATTCTTCCAGACAATTCATTCGTTTCTCTGGGAAAATTACTGAGTCTGAACGTATCTCAAAATTTTCTTCAAGCAAACTTTAAAGAGCTGTTTCATTATTTACCAGATTTGAGACATCTCTATCTGGCTAATTGCGGTCTTAGAAGCGTACCGTTACTGCCACTGATAAATTTAAATAATTTGGATTTATCTTTTAACAACGTTGACGAGACTACTGACAAGCAGTTTCAATATCTAGAAGGTTTGAAGATTCTTTTATTGGTTAATAACTCGTTAACATTGATGCCCGGTGTCAGATTGAGCCTCTTGAGAGAACTTGATGTTTCTGGCAATCCTATCGAGGTTAGTTAAAATTAAAATAATGAAGAAAAGTGTTTTCTTCTATTTCAAATCTTTCTGAAGAAAATATTGAAGACGTTAATAATATGTTTAATGATTTTCCAGGAATTAACGAAAGAGAGCTTCTTGGGCTATCCAAGATTAGAGAAATTAAACTTAAGAAATTTAAATCGGACGAGATCAGTGGACAAAGATTGTCTGCAACCTCTGAAATATTTAAAACACCTGCGAATTCAAACGTGGCCGCAAGCCGACGGATTTCACTTGCGTCATCTGCTATCCGGTTTACCGCTTCGAACAGTCGAGATTCAAGTAACGGAACATCTTCTGAAGCATCAAATACAAAACGTCTTCACAAAACAACTGAGAGAACTAACGATCACCGGAAACGATCTTGAATTGATTTCCTCTGAAGCGTTCTCTACTATCGAAGGCGGAGACTTGATATTAAGAATCAAAGACACGCACGTTCAACGATTACAGTCGGATATTTTTTTATCGTTGACGAAGAGATTGTCACAGCTTACTTTGGATCTAAGGAACAATCATATTAATGAATTAAGTCCGTCGATAATTTACGGGAATCTTTCCTGGGAGACTGTAGGAACTAATATGGTGGCTGGTAAGAGTTTGCAATATACAACATAAATACAAGTATTTTAATAAAATAATTGGTAAAATTTTTATTATAACATCTTTTCTAATAATTGAAATTCTAATCTAAGTAACGAAAAAGCCTTATCTGGAGCTGGATTTTAGGGCTTGAATATTTTGAATTAATTTTCAAAGTGTATTATTTAAGCACTAAGATCCAAGTCAGATTCGATAAGATTTTTTTCTTTATTAAAAATTCTAAAGTTATAATAATTATGATAGTAACGTATCTAAAGTTATTAGAGAACACATGAAATGATTTTTTTTTTTAGGTGGACTGCAGGTATCGGGTAATCCACTCGAATGCGATTGCGAAATTGCATGGCTCAGCCTGTGGCTGCGCAGGTGGCTCAGAGAGTCCCGACAAATTCATACAGCATCGCAATCCGATGCCAGACAACTCAGGACCATAGCCGGCCGAGCTGTCTGCACGGAAACAACTCCGTCTTATTCCTCTGACAAGGTCTTGCTGACTCTGGGTACACCGCACACCGCTTGCCAAGCATCCGCCCTCAGCTCGGGAAATTACGAACGCCTGGCGACAACCTGGTTGGCCTTCGTCAAATTCTTCATCCTCGTCTTTATTGCCAATTAACTACGAGTTGATATTACGACATTTTTCCTTGGGCCTAGTCTTCACAATGTGATCTTTTTTTAATGTAAGATTTACCAATAAAAGTAGTTAAATAATTACGAGAACCGCTTCTTATTATTTCTATGATTAATATCAAGAGATGGAAAAATTCTTTCTATAAATAAGGGAAACGGGAGAAAAAATAATTATAAAAATAAATGGTATTCCAAGAATTTATTTTTATTTACAAACGTAATTATCATGATTTCTTTCGTGCTTTATACAGATGGCGAGGGGTAAAAATACACAAGAATGGAAAAAAATTCTTAAAAAGTAGGAATAAAGATGTAGGCAATAAGGTACTTGTGGGAAAATGCATGGAAGAAAAAATTCATAAAGAAGATAAACTCGTTGACACGCGACGATAATATACTTATGTTCGCAAATTGATGAACACTTTCAATAAAATTATTTTTCCTAAACTTTCTTGACACTTTTTTTATTTTACAGTTTCACGTATCGCAAATAATTATTTTGTCATTGCTGTGTGTGTGTGTGTATGTGTGTGTGTGTGTTTACTTTTACACGGGCGGCGCTTGTGTGTGCTGTAAGCAACCCTCGACATTCTCCGGCCAGTCACAAACATTCTCGTTGGGATTAAAGACCAAATTCACAGGACAGGGCATGTGATGCTTGCGCTCGCCCTCGCACATATAATACATCGTGCAGTCATTCTTGTCCGCATGATAAGATATATGATTGTCTTCTTCGTCACACAGCACTTCATTTGCTGCAAAATTTATTTTCACAATTAATTCTTCAATCATTTTTTTAACTACCTTTTACCCATCTTTTACAAATTTTATCAATTTTAGAAAAAATTTCGTATTTTTTTGTTTTTATACATACAATAATTTACACAGTAACTGTTATTTTTTTTGTGAGATTTCTACAATATATTATAACTGCGTTCGATTTAAGCACTTATGTATTTATAAGCTTCCATCTTTCTTCCGCGAAAAAAGAGTAATAGAGATAAAATAAGCTCACAACGCGTGAGCGTCCAAACCGAACGCAGACTGTGCATACATCAATTTACTTACGATCCTTAGTAGTGTATTTTCCATTTCTTGAGGTACTTTCGTAAGGACCATCGTATTCCAGCTTGACCTTATAGTCTTGCAACTCCTTCTTCATTGCTTTAATCAGCGGATACTTTCCTGCTCCGCAAGATCCTCTAAAGTCATCCATGTCAACTGACCAAATCATCACGCCTCCAAAGCCTTCTTCTTTGAGCCAAGTCATCTATAAAAGAATATAATTTAAGGAATGTAAACATGAGATGCGTATAATAATTAATGTCTAAAGAATAATATTAAATATTCTTTTTAAAAGGTTCAGAGATATACAATTAAAAATGTATACCTTATTAATAAGACTTCTTTCATCGTCGAATCCGACCCATTGATCATCTCTATACGCAAATGGTACTTGCTGCTCACTATCCCATACTAGAGTTGTATTGTCTTCATTTAAAAAGCTGCAAACCTATTTATAGAACATTCATTTAAATTTAATTGAACATAAGCAATGTAAACATTATGTCACATAATAAAAAGATTTTCTTATTTTCGAATCCTATTATCGATTAAAACGGATCTTGGTGCTTAATAATATTATATATAAATATAATTTTTGATTTTATAAATTATGCGCTAATTCGGACTTAAAACGCAATTATAAACTAAATAACGGAAATAACATTCACGAATATTACATTAATCATCAATTTAATAAAGAATAAGTATAGCTAATAAGTATCTTGAATAAATACCGCTAAAAAGCGCAAATTAGCTCGCTTAAGTATTATAAAAAAGTAATACCTCGTAGTAAGACAGAAATCCGGATTCGTTGGTGAAGTTTCCCGCCACTCCACCACCAGATGCTGGTGCACCAATGTCGAATTTATCCTTGTCGACCAGCGTGAAGGATCTACCGTACGTTGGCATTCCGATCATGAGCTTTTCCTTAGGCGCTCCTTGCTTCACCCATTCCCGTGCGCTGTAATCCTAAAAATCAAATAGAAAAAATTTCATAAAGCTCAATAAGATCAAGACTTTAGCACGTGGACACTTTTACTTACTACTGTCAGTTTTTTCTGATAGCTAGTAGCACTTTCTAAGGGATACAATGGACTGTTGTGACCGACTTGTCTCTCCCATTGGCCATGGAAGTCGTATGCCATTACATTAATGAAGTCCAGATACTTAGATATTTCAGGGACATCGTACCTAAAAAATAAAATCAAAATCATTTAATAAGCTAAACGTTCTCATATTCATAATAGAACTATAGAATAAAACACTCTGGTTTTAACTTATGCGTTACTTACTGTATTGAATTTTGTATTTATGTAATTTTTATGTTAATATTGCAACATCTGTGAAATTTACCCTGCGGCAATAGCTTCAAAACTGGCAGGCACTGCAGCTGACAAGATTAACTTCGGTTGGCCGGAGCTCTTTGCTTCGCCCTCGAAAGCCATTCTAAGTTCCTTCAAGAGATTAACATAGGCCGTTCGATCATCGGCTCCTCTACAAAAAAATATTTCAGATTATAAAGATATACGTTATACAAAAATATATATACGAAGTAAAATATATAAATAAAACCTCGGGTATTCCCAGTCAACATCTAATCCGTCGAATTTATATTCTCGCAAGAAATCGATAGCTTCATAAACAAATTGGTTCATTCGGAATGTGTTACTGGTAAGTTCCTTGAAAGGCGTCGAGCCGAATGCCCAACCTCCGATCGCAAGAAGAATCTAAAAACATTGTAGTGAAACAGAAGAATCCGATACTTTAATAACGCAATCAAAATTGGTTGAATTTTTAAACAAAACATATTTGATGATAAATACTTTAATGTCCGGATTCTTGTCGCGAAGCGCGATCAATCTTTTGTACATTTCGGTGTCTTTATCACTTCCTTCAGTAAGTAGATGATCCTTCAAAGTAGCAAATGCGTATACCACGTGAGTGCAGAGAATTGGATCGATGTCTTCCGGACTGAATCGTCCCATTCCTGGCCTTTTGTGCGACCAATTTGTCAGGTAACAAATAGTTTGTGCCTCTCTCTCTGTCAATTAAAAAAAAAGACTTTTATTACAATGCGATTAATCTCTGATTAAAATTCTTGGCATAATCTTTCGATAATTCAAGAAAATAAATATATATATATCCGCCAAACATCAAGGAACATTTTATGTAAGATATAATAAGAAAGTATAATTTTACAATTTTATTATAGCAATTTGATTTAAAAAGATTACCATGGATTGGAGTGTTAATCACAAGTGTGGTCTTCTGAAGCTTCTTTGATTTGTTGAGCACCTCCGAAACGGAAATCTTGTAAGGCTCCGGTTTTTTTACGATCGTTTCTGTAATGGTGGTGGCAACCGCCGTCCAGTCAACATCCTTGGCATTGGAACCTCGCGAAATACCCCTAAGTTCCTCCCTCATCGCACCGATCAAAGGATATCGAACATTTCCACCGCAAACAGTGCCGTTGAAATCATCCATGTCTACCGTCCATACCATCGCTCCTCCGTAACCTTTGCTCTTTAACCAGTGCATTTTATTCCTGATGGATCTTTCATCATCGAAACCAACCCATTGATCGTTGTACACCAAATAGGGTATCTTCATCTCGTCATCCCAAACATAGGCAGCACCGTTATGCAGCATCTCGCAGATCTAGCATTAGAGAACGATTTCAATTTCATCCGTGACTTTATAGATTTATTTTGAAAAAGGATTTTTATGTCGTTATAATAAATTGTTGATAATTCCTAATTGAGTAATGATGTAGTAATTACAAATATTGCAATTTATATGTAAAACAAATAAAATAAAGAATCCTTTTCAGTTGAAGCGGATCTTACAACATTCAAATTTTTGCAATCATATTTTTCAATTTTATAAATTTCATATAATTTTTTTATTATTTTTTTTCTGTAAATAGAATTCTTTCTCTTACTTCTTATTATTATAGTATTTCTTTTTACCGATTTAACTTCTACTTATAATTGTTTATATATGAAAGATTAACTGAAGAGATTTTATAGTTGCGTTGATGAAGTAGGAAATAAGATAATGTTGAAACTGTTAGTTACTCGAGATAGTTTCGAATTTGTTTTCTCGTTCCTCTGCAAAAGCGGGGTTGTACAGTACCTCGTAATATGCGAGGAAACCAGACTCCTTGGTGTATTCGCCCGCCTTTCCGCCACCACTAGCTGGAGCGTGTACACGGAAGTTGGCAGAATTTGAAAGGGTAAAGGATCGGCCGTACGTAGGCATGCCTATGATTAATTTTTCTTTAGGTGCACCCAGCTTGACCCACATAGTAGCCGCATTGTCAACGCTCAATTGCTTCTGCCATTCCGAATCCAATGACGAGGAATATAACGGGGCATTGTGACCAGTTTCTCTCTCCCATTTTCCATGGAAATCGTAGGCCATGAGATTGATAAAGTCCAAATAACTAAATAGATGGAACAATACATTTTTAATTGTGTATTATGATTGTGTAATGATAAATGTAGATAAAACGAGAGCGTCACTTTCGACTTAGAATCGCGTGCCAAGAAATAAAATAAAATTGGCTAACGTAAATTATTTTTCTCTAAACAAAGAAATTTTGTCTAACTTCATTTTACTATAAAATAATAATAAAATATTATACATATGTATATATTTATTTTGCATAACAGTGATGAAAAATTAAGGAATATTTACTTATGTTGTCTGATATTTATGTTAGTTCTATATTAATTTAATAACTTGATCTCTATTGTAATGTCTGTAATTGTATCTTAAGAATAAGATTGTTTAATTTATTATCCTCGCTTTTTATTCTTTTTTTTATACCTGGCGACTGCCGGTACGTCATATCCACTTTTAACATTGTCAGGTCCAACTGGTACTGCGGCGGTTAGCAAGAGACGCGGTTTCTTCCTTTCTTGCGCCTCTGCCTCGAAAGCCTCTCGCAGCTCTGTAAGAAAACAATGAAAAATGAATTCAAGCTGCAACATTACATATGTGACGTATGCGCGCACGAAGAGTGGAAATGTCAAGTGCTGCGTCGCACATTGAACTCACGTAATCCTGTGGAGGATAAAATTAAAACAATAGGCAATAATCCACCGCCTTATCAAGATTGGCGTTCATCTGACATTTCCAGTCTTGGGGATTTCGTATTGTTATT